TTTTTCCCAAGTCAACTAAAAACATTAAGAGTAAAGTACAATGACACCCCTCAAGTTTGCCATAAGGATACTTATATACAAGTTGACTTATTTTTGGACAATGACATCCCCTAAGGTTTGCTTCTTTTTGACAAAGATACCCCTTAATAATATGACAAGTGATAAAATGACCTAAATATCCTTTGACTTATGAGTTGACTCTTTTGAATAGTGAAATTATCAATTTGCCCATTCTAACTAATATGAAATGTCCAAACTAACCACATCTCAAATGAGGTACCCACACAACCACCGTTGACACCTCCTCCCATCTCCCCTCTCGTCATCACTCTCTCTCTCTAACCCTATTTTGCAATATATAGATATACACATATATTAACCAAAACACACAAATATACATATATATAAACCATTGAATTCGGATCTTACGGTGGGGAGAGATCCGAGGGGCGGCAGAGCTTGTAGGTCCCGAGTCCGGCGAAATCGTGTGAGTTGACCAAGTCGATGAATGGTAATCGGAGAGTGCCAACTAGATTCTAGTTTGTGTCAAGGCATCTGAAGTAGAGGACTTCAAGGGAGATGATGGAGTCCTAGAGAAGAGTGGTGAGAGGGACGACAAACCATTTGTTCAAAATCGGGCAGTTCGAGCTGGAGTCGTCGTGCTTGGTGGACCAAATTTTGGCGGAGACGATTATGATGTCGAGATCGAGTGGCTTGGGAGGAGGGCGACAGGCTACCATGGCAATGCCGGTGATAATTTGGGCCAGAAGTGTGTGAGAAGAAGAAGATGACGATACTTCAGTATGACAGGATTTACCCACTTCAGCTCCTATTGACGATTTGGGTAGGAATCAATTCGGACGCATCAAATCGGGTGGGGAATAAATTCGGATGCATTGAATCAGATATCACGCTTGGGGGCGAAGGTTGTGGTGGTGTCGACGTTGCGTCCACAGTTGAAGTTGTGCTAGGACGATCTTGGAGGTATACATATATATATATATATATATATATATGTATGTGTGTGTGTGTGTGTGTGTGTGTGTGTGTGTGTGTGTATCTTGAAGATTTGGATGTTTAAAGGTGTTGGTGTTTGGTGGTGGGTTTATGTGATACCGTCGGATTTCTAAATGCAGATTGGCTAGGCCCACGCCCGAACGCCCGGGGAGATAAAAAACAAATTGGTAATAAACGAACACACAATACAAAAGGATAAATAAGAAAAAATAAAATGCTGAAATAAAAATGATAATCCAATATTTAAAATCCTTAGAATAAATTTTCATTAAATAATAAAATATTATAATACAACTAATTTTCCAATACAACT